CAGTTTCTATTTTTAAAATGCCACGTGCCTAAACACACACCCGCACCCTTTTTTTGGCAGCAAGGGATGATGTCGTATTTGTGTAAAATTGGAAGAGACCAGTTTAGATTGTTAGATGTTTAAAAGGGAAATGCTGTAGGGACCACTTTTCTAAAATCATTCAGTGGTGGCTTTCACATAGGTAGTATCTGAATAAGTACTATGTAGTCGCTCGTATATGTTATGATTAATGACTGCAAGGTCAAACATTTTGGAATTATTTTTTTTGATCAGTTAACTTGTGAAAGCAGATCAACTGAATTTAGTTTTTGTAATTTTGCTATCCCATCACAGAAGCAATTATAGAGGTAAGCATTGAGCCATCCACTGTTACAGTGGGTAAAATGTCCTTGATCAATATGGCATTCTCCTTTAAAACTGGTCTTATTAGCAGGACTTGTTCAGTTTACAGGTTTTCATATCTGAGTACATTAAGAAGCTGCAAAAATAAACCCAGGTGAAGGCTTACTTTTCCATCACTCATTCCCCCTGAACAGTAACAGAGATGTAGCCATGTTAGTCTGGTCTTGCTGAAACAAAAGACAGGACTATGCAGCACTTTAAAGACTAACAAGATTGTTTATTAGGTGATGAGCTTTTGTGGCCCAGCCACACTTCCTCAAATCAAATTGTGGAAGAAAATTGGCATGACCATATATACGCTGAACAGTACCTTTTAGAGCTTTTCATTGCTCAAGATGAACAAAAAAGCAAGAAGCGTGTTAGAGGTAATGGGCAAAACATGCTAAAATAAGAACCCAGAAAAATGTCAGCCTCTTCTTGGAATTAAACCCACTATTTTCAGGACTGTAAATGCTGAGGGTAATTCAGAGCTGTCCTTACCCATCCTGGTGCCCTACACAGTCCGAACAACTGTGTACACGCATCCTGTGGGGGTTGAGCTGTACACAAAGAAGCATAGGTGCCAGACAGGGAGCAGCACAAGCTACAGGCTACATGTGGACAGGAGGCAGCCAGCCAGAGACAAGAGGTGGTTTCCACTCCCGCCAGAAGAAAACAGCTGATTGGTGGCTGGATACAGCATGGGAGGAGAATGGGGGAAGCACCAGGGAATGGGGCTGGTCACTGGAGCCAGCACTGCCTAAGCATCCTACAGCTGCAGCGGTGCCCCAAATTTTGTGGTGCCCTTTGCAGCTACATATTCTGTGTTTCTAGAGATGGCTCTAGGATAAGTATTTCAGTTAGCCTATTTGTTCTCCACATTGTGCAATCATCCATGTCCCTCACAAATAGCTGGATGCATATACTCAAAAGAAATGTTCCCTTGTTGGTTGGTTGGTTTATTTGTGTTTTTTCTCATCCAAAGACCAGTAGCTTCTTTCTTTTTACCTTTACTGATGTTCCAGTTGCAATACAGGCAGTCCCCGGGTTACGTACAAGATAGGGACTGTAGGTTTGTTCTTAAGTTGAATCTGTATGTAAGTCGGAACTGGCATCAGCCGCTGCTGAAACTGATCAGTTTCAACAGCGGCTGAATCTGGACACCAGTTCCACTTACATACAGATTCAACTTAAGAACTTCTTTTTACCTTTACTGATGTTCCAGTTGCAATACAGGCAGTCCCCGGGTTACGTACAAGATAGGGACTGTAGGTTTGTTCTTAAGTTGAATCTGTATGTAAGTCGGAACTGGCATCAGCCGCTGCTGAAACTGATCAGTTTCAACAGCGGCTGAATCTGGACACCAGTTCCACTTACATACAGATTCAACTTAAGAACCCCAGGTGTCCCCAAGTCAGCTGCTGCTGAAACTGATCAGCAGCTGATTCCAGGAAGCCCAGGGCAGAGCAGCTCTGCCTCGGGCTTCCCTGGGGCAGAGCAGCTGGGGTGCTGCCGGGTTGGTCCAGTAGCACCAAGGAGCAGTGCTACAGGACCAACCG